GTTTTTAAACACCTCAGTATCACTGCTGGACTGAGAATAGTCCACCAACCAAAAAATATCCATCCATCAGCATCCTGTGACCACTGATGAAGGAGTAGAGAATCACTAACACTAACTGTGCAGCAAAGTATAAGCTACTGTCATGAGCAAAATGCGGTGTAAAAATATTCTTAGTTACTTCTCCTTTTGATCTTTCATTCAAAATATTATTTAAGGTACAGTGACTGAAAGAAAAAATGAAATATTGTCATAAAATAAGTATATTTTTTAAATCTATGGGTGCTACAATTGTAGGGATTCCTAAAAGTGTAAAACTAACTGAAGAATTTTCCCTTTCATATTTTATGTTAAAGTTCACCTGAGTGATTAGGAACATTAAATGGTCAGCAATGACTATAAGACGGCTACAAGAAAATATTGAAACATTTTCACTATCAGGACAATAATTAAGAAGTTTAAAACAACTGGAGATGTTAAGAATCTGCCAGGAAGAGGATGCATGTCTATACTGACCCTATTCTCAGTGAGGAGGGTAGCCACAAGGATCACAGCTGGGGAATCGCAGATATTAGTTATTTCTTTGGGTCGTAGCGTCTCCCAAACCTCAATCCAACATCACCTATATAACCACAGGTTGTTCGGCAGGGTTGCCAGAAGACAGCCAAGTACCAACAAAATCAAGCACCTACAGTTTGCCAAACATTACTGGAACTTTCAGTGGGACTGTGTTCTATGGTCAGATGTGACCATCCCACCCCAACTGGGTAGTATGGTGGTGGATCTGTGATGTTGTGGGGCTTTTTGTCTTCCAAAGGCCCTGGACAATTTATTCGATATATGGTATCACAGACTTCATTAAATAGCAGCAGAAAAAACACAGAAAACTGACTGGGCTATAGCTCAGATCTTCAGAAGACATTTAGTCCGTTCATCGATCTTTCTAGTCATCTGATTCTATTTTTGCTTTATTTTTTTGCTTTATTTTGTTGATATTTACTTTTGCCTCTGCAGTCCCTCCATAACTTCTCAGTTATTTTGTTTTGAGTGGCTCTGTATTTTTTTCATGTGGGTTGGACAGAGTTTATCTTAACTGTCTACTGGTCGTCAATCAGGAAAAACCACCATTCAAACACCATGAAATTCAGAAAACAAAAGAAGAATAGAACAACATATCACAGGCGTCACAGAACAAGGAGATACACATTTAGGACTTAAATGAAGAAATAGATGCATAGGCTATAATAAATACAGGCTGATGTAATGGTGATAATCTATTGCTGCCATTACAGAATAGTGACCAGGATTCAGAAATCACTAAAAAAGTCATGTTTATTTGAAAATAGATTAGATTTTTCACCTTCTTTTTCACAGTTTTATGTATTTTATGAAAATCACGCCTGCTAGATACAAAAAATGGACAATAGATTCAAAATAGATGTTTGAATGATATACATCGTTAATATACTTCATTAGGCCAAACCACCAGTGCTTGTTTTGAACCCATTCATTTTCACTGACAGCAAAACAACCGGGATACAATATAATTAATCATCTATCTTTAAATGAAGACTGAACCAGTAACATCAGCTTTGTATTTGAGGTCTGAATGATTTTTCAGCAAAAAAAAACTTTAATTTCCAGTGATTCCCCCACACTCAGTCTGTTAAAGCAATGTTTCCCACCCCAGGTCCTGGTGAGCCCCACCGCCCTGTATCCAACACACTTGATCCAGCTAATCAGCTAATTAATGCGTAGGTTCCCCACCCTGGTCCTGGAGAACCCCTTGTCCTGCTCATTTTGGTGTTTTCCTGCTCTAGCACACCCACTTCAACTTAGGAAGAGATCATTAAAGATCAAGATGTGTTGTGTGTTGAAGTCCAGCAGGGGCTCTCAAACACCAGCTGAAGAACAGATTTCAATTTGATGTCTTATAAACTACACTGTGTTAAAACCAGGTAAACAGGTCTATTTGTTTACTTTGTGGTGAAACATGTACTCAGTGTGCTTTAAGTTCTGATGATGTCCACAATATGCTCAGAAAAGCATATTGTGGCATAGTTTATTATTATAGTAATAACATATTGCCATATTGCCCACCCCTACGACAATATGAACTAATTTAGAATTCTAGTAGAAATCTATAAAATATAGTCTGAGTTAGTCCTCAGAATTAATTACTTTATGCCATTTCATAGTCCTTCAGATGACGGCTTAAAGACAAGGTCCCATACATGATCGTACCTAGCTATGAGGTCCGCACCTCGGTAGTTTCACAAGGGTTTACTCATGTATCTCCATTCATGATTTTTGATGTGGAAACAGTGCCCATATGATAATATGGTAGCCACTCGGGTCGTAGGCAATATAGGTCTACCCAATCAAACAGGGAAAGAATATTTATTTAGCCACATTTTTAAAGATAGTGACATTTGATTTGTTTTTCTGCCAATCAAATCATTATGCTCTAGGCCATCACTGCTTAGCGACTGTTGCTATCTGCAATTGCCTTAAGCTGTTTCGTTATCAGCGCCTGTCATGTTCATAACTAAATTAAGCAGTTCTACAGTTGGTAGTTTAACTACTAAAAAAGTAGATTAGGTGTTCCGAGTCCTTGTCCACAGTTTCCATTCCTTGGAGAACAATCTAAAAAGAAAGGACAAACATTTTAAAACATTTGAAATCAGTTACAGATGAACAAACAGGTGATAAATTCAATGTAAGATTACCATCACCATTCAATCACAAAGAACAACAGACACAATCATCTGTCAATGTCCCTGTATATGCGTTATATAAAACAAAGAAGTAGATTCTCTTTTATAGGATAAGCTGAAAAAAAAAGAAAAACAAATAAAAAAAAGAACAGATGATTATACAAGAAGTTATACAAGATAAAGATGTAAACCACTCATCTTTAACAAAATGAATAAATCCAGAACACAGCAGGTTAAAACATAGAGGTATGTGTATACAGAGCTGAGAAGCAAAGATCAGAGGAAACTACAACTAGCATTTACCAACATATGGAGAAGTTCAAGTGAGGAGGACATGTTAAAGGCAGTCTGTTCCTTCCTGGAACAGACCATAGTCTCAGAAGGACCCTGAGCACAAGTGTGTTTGGAGTGTGTTGCCCCCACACTCTGACCGTAACACAAAAATTATGAAAGAAATAGACCTGCAAAATCATTTTAACGAGCCCATGTCATGGAAATATGGATTTCCTCACTAAAAGAGTTTGATGTAGTATGTAAACACTGTTAAAGTTTCAAAACACACCATTCACTCCCAGTCCATGCAGTCCATATATTGAAACTAAGTTTTTAAAAAAGCTTGTTTTGAATTTCCTGTTTTAGTGATGTCAGGAAAACCTCTGCATTTGCATATATCTGCCTGTTTAATGTACAGCAGTTTAGCCCCGCCCATTCTCACTGAAATTTTTCAGTGTCTTGAGTGTTTCAGCCTGGGGTGCCTTTTCAATGAGCATTAATAGATGTGGCCAGTGAGAACAGAGGTAATTTGCATAGTTCTATTTCCAAGGCACAGTTTCAAAAAACGAATTATCAGGGATAAAGAGAGGTTAGAAAATGGTCATGGTCAAATGAATTTTACCTGTTTTTGGTAAAAACACACAAACATCATAAGTGGACCACAAGGGAAAATATTAAATATGAAGTTAAATAAGAAAAATACTGGATATGGGTCCTTTAATAAACCATTCATGCTTGTTTATGTGCACTTTGAACAGTGCTGGAAAAAAATGTGATCTAGAAACCAAAATGATTAATTCTCAAATAATGTGCAGTAGTCTATTATTTCCCGCAGTTACATTTCTGCACGAATATATATAGTTATAAATAACATATATTAAATATATAGCGGCAGGGTGTGGGCATTTATTTAGTCAACACATAAAAGGGCTATTCTAATTTGATGGATCTGCAATGGACTGTCCCTAGTTTTTGAGCTGGTGGTCTGAGGCCCACCCAGGCTTCTGGCAGTCAGAGGCCCCTGGGCACTGACCCCACTGGCCCAGTCAGTAATAATGAACCACCATCAAGGCAACACAGACTGTTACCAAAGGACAATACAGAATGTTTTGGAGTGAATGCAGCACATTGTGTCCTGAAGAAAAACAAACTAAAAATTTGAAACGCCAGTATTTTGAAGTATAATCGCTAATCTTCTGCTGTGTAGTCAGTTACAGTATGAGTTGATGTGCGTCCAGGTTTTTGTTCTAGGAGCGAGCATTAGAGAGATATATGGAAGAAACTGCCGGACTCTAATGGTAATGATAGCCTTTAGGCTAGGTTTAGCCTTAAGCATAGCAGCCTACTAGCCCAGCCCAGTGTGCCTCCACCGGTCAGCTGCATCACACAACAGTGTGGTCTGTTGCTTCAATCAATACAATAAATCTGCTGAAAACCAGAACAATGACTGACATTTAGAGATTTGAGGGTGAGTGCACTGGACCTACATATGAGACAAATGACCTTGAGAAATTCGAATGTGGTATCAGCGCATCCATATGCATTGGACCCTTTCACTTTCAGTTGGACACCTGTAAAAACGGGTACTTTCACTCTGATCCCTCCTCTGCTCTCTTCCTCATATCTCCATTTACATCAATTGTGAAATTTTAACATTTGAGAACCTTTAAATTTGGTGCTAGATTGGGCTAGAAAAGAACCCAAAACATTTTACAATTTTAAAATAGCCCAAAACAGCTGTTCCCTCTAAGAGTTAATTTGGGTAAAATTACCATCATTGTGTTATTTCTGACCATTTCAAAACATGCACCAGAATACTGTTAAACAATGATGTGTAGATGAGCTTGTTTTAGCCCTCATTGTATCAGATTATTAGCTGATTATAGCTGATTGAAATATATTGATGTATTGTTTTGATTCCATGCAGACATACTATTCAACCGCATAATCAGAAATGAACGCAAACTGAAACAGCAACTTTGACTGCATTATTTCACAGTTCTAAAAGAAGGTTCATCTCTCCTTCAGGTCTCTTACCTGCTTGATGTTAACATTGGTGTTACTGTGGTTTGCGTTACCTTGAAAGGAAAAACAACACTCATTTCATATAAATCATTTCACAGAATCTCATGTGGAGTTTAATCTTCTTTTATTCATTCTTTTGTTGAGATTCAACAAACTACCAAATTAAATATGCAGAATTAAATAACACAGAATATGTCACCAAACTAAGGTAATACAAATAATATAAAATATACATTAATACTTACTGGCTCCTCCTCTGATTCAATGTCCTGACTTCTAAATGTGTCATTATCTCCAGCTGATAAAGAAGAAGACTTTTAAAACTTAAAAAAAAATATATATATATATATATAAATATATAAATAAAGCTTCTCAATAGTTAAATAACTGTGGAACACTTACCTGCATGTTGGACAGTCTTTCGGTTAAATTTGAGAAACATGATAACTGCTGCTGCTAAAGCCACAACTATGAGAGAAGAAACCATTCCAGCCATCAGAGCAGCTGAAGTTTTATTTCCACATACAACATCAGAAGAAAGCGTTCCTGCCTTTATTTCTGTAAGTCCCAGATCTTCACATCTGTCAGGGTGAAACAAATTGGCTGATGAAGTCATATGATTTTCTTATTGTGTAGTTTCTGTACAGTGCTCTTGATCTGGTTTATCCTTTAGATGAAGACGGAAGGTTATAAAACTACAACCAAATGACTCCTAAACATTTTCCTTTCACACGCTGTATCTCTAATCAATAATCCCTCGTTTAGCTCCTTCAATCTCAAACAAAGTGACTTGTGTTCACGTACATTGTATTTTCACCCTTAAATCATTTATTCCTCTCTTGTGTATTATGGCACTAAAATGATCACTATTATGTTTTTATGTTGTACTCTGTTATGTTGTAACATCTGAAAAGAGTATTGTCTATTTTGTTTTTCTTTTATTTTATGCCTATATTTAATTTTTTCTTGGCATGATTTATAATCTCACTAGAACTGCTGTGGGAAAATCCCTACTATTGAATAATCATTCACTGATCATAATAATCATTCAGTGACTCATCAACTGAACACTCACTTTGAATGTGGGTGACAAATCTGAAGAGAGCCACTTGAGAAGGTACCATCTGGACATTCAGCACATTCAGTATCTTTAAATGCTGTTCCTGCAAACATACAAGTCCTGCTTAGTCACAGAGAATAAAATCAACACACTTATTTCTGAGGTAAATAGTTTTGGACAGCACTGTCTACCAGTCTTAAAGGCACAAAAACACAAACATTGTAATTATGAAGGATAAAAAGGCTGGAAAAAGGACTTGTAAAAACAAATTCTGACTATTACAAAGTAGAATGTGTAGAATCCTTTAAAGATTACAACCGCATTACTTTGAAAGTTTATATTGTATACAGATGTGTTACACTAACCTCTTTGCTTTATATATTGTCCAGGGCTGCAGTTTGTGTGTTTCATAGCTCGTCTACAGCTGCCTCTGTGTTGATCAGTACAGTAATATCCATCTAGTGGCTTACAGACTGTATTTGATGATCGAGTGCAGGGGGTCTTTACTCTTAAACCCTGACCTGTGAAAAACACAAAATAACTCTGTCCAAGAATTTGTCACTGCACTGAACTTTTTATCTATATATTTAATCAATGCTTTAAATACACAAATCACACAGACGTCTACAAAGTATGTTATAAATGCATTACTTATGAAGGACAGACTTACCAGAAATGCACACTGTACAATTGAAGCATTTTATAAGACCATTGGGTACATCAATGTAAGCTGATTCAGGACATGGAGCACAAGTAGTGCTTGTATCCGCAGTACAATGCCTATGAACATGGTTTCCTAAAAAAAAATGCAACCAACAATGAGACAGAACATTTTTTACACAATTTACACAATCTTCCATTTGCTTTAGACACATTTGCTTTAAGAAGAGGTTTATAAATGACAACACAGCTACAGTTTTCACGAGCAAAATGTGCTCTGCACCATGCAAACCATCTGATTCCGTTAATGCTTTGCTGGATAGCTTCAACTCAAAAATTGTCAGAGTTATGGATGATGTTGAACCGGTTAAAGTTAAAATCATGTCGTGGCAATAGAAAGCACCATGGAGGAATGCTACTGCAGTTTAACTCATAAAGAGAGAATGTAGAATGGCTCAACGCAGATAGCGTATAAACCCAGCTTCAGATCCACAAAGAAATCTTCAAAGATAGGCTGCATGATTCTCCAACATGATCAACAATAATTTTAACAACAGCAAAATACTCTTTGCCATGGCTGACAAACTAAGTAAGTCACCTACATATATGGCCCCTAAACTAGTATCAACTGAAAGATGTTATGAGTTTGCACACAATAAAAATCATAATATCAGGCAAGCCATTAATACATCTATATCTACCAAGGAGCCTGTGTTCTCTCCATCACTGCGTAAAGATATCAAGGTGAGATGTGTTTTACTCAAAAGCAGCAGTCATGTCAAGTGTTTTTCTAACACATTAAAACTGCAGTTATGAAGCCTCATTTAAAAAATGAAAAAATCTAGAAGTAACTCTATTGAGTAATTACAGACCGATTTCAAATCTACCTTTCATTAGAAAAATTATTGAGAAAATTGTCTTCAAGCAACTTACTGGCTCTCTGTCCTTAAATCAGTCAGGATTGTGGCCTAATTGTAGTACTGAGACTGCTCTAATTAAAATTATTAATGGCATTTGTTTAAATACAGCACTCGCTTTAAAACTTTGATACCACTGACCATAAAATTCTTATACATAGATTTGAGAACCAGGTTGCACTCTCAGGAACTGTCCTAAAACGGTTCAGTTCATACCTGCAAAGCAGCGATTGTCCAAATTTACAATAATGTTTCTGAGAGAGCGCCAGTGATCTGTGGTGTCCCACAGGGTTCAATTCTTGGGCCACTCTTACTTAATTTATACATGCATCCTCCAAATACTACAAAACTATGGGATATCTTACTGCTCAGATTTACTTGGCTCAAATAGCTTTAAGTACCATCAGCACATCACTAACTGGACGGGATAAAACCTTCTGCAGTTAAATAAAGAAAAAACAGAGATTATTTTATTCTGAAACAGCAGTGAGAGGCAGAGACTTGCTGCCTATCTAGAGCTCTAAAATCTAAAGAACTAGCACGTAATCTTAGTGTGCTAATGGACGTGGCTCTCAGTGTTAGCAGTGATGTCAAAGTGGTCACTAAATCAGCATTTTATCACCTTAGGAACTTCAACAAGATCAGAGATTTTCTGACTAAAGCAGACCTGGAGAAACTCATTCACGCCTTTATTTCTTGCAGGATTGATAACTGTAATGGACTCCCAAAAACAATCACACAGCTTCAGATGATTCAAAATGCAGCTGTCACAGTCTCACTAGGAGTAAAAGAAGGAACACATCACTCCCATTCTTAAATCCTTACACTGGCTAGTAATTAGTAAGTTACAGAATAGATTTTAAGATACTATTACTGGTCTATAAATCACTTAATGGTGTAAGAGCAGCATATTTATCTGATATGCTGCAGCGATATAAGCCAAGCAGAACTCTCAGATCATTAGGAACTGCTGCTCTTAAATGGAACCATGCATTGCACTCCCAAACCTAAAGAAGCAAGACGCTCTGTGTCAGCGCCCTCTACCCTCCTGCCCCAGTCCCTCTCCAGTTGGTGCCTATGTTCTCATTTGTATTTTAATTTAGGCAAATTTTATTCCAGGTATTTTGGATCATTTTATTGATTCATTCTACATTAAATATTTACACAGTGTAAGGGCTACTAGTTTTTTTTTTACACTGTGTAAAAAAAAATAAAACCTTAATCAAAAGTTTTAATATTACAGTGATGATATATTTATTCTGTGCACTTAAGTTGTTGTATAGCTGGGTGTGATGGCTTTCCCACAGATGTAGACAATGCAGTTTTAAACTTTTAACTTACCAGGTGCACACATGGGACAGCATTCTCCATTTATCTCATACTCAGTGCGTACACACAGGAAACAACTGAGTTCAAAATTCAGAGAGAAAATAGCAGCAAAAAGATAAAATGTCTCCAAGTTACAGATCATCTTCAAAGTGCTAGTTCAGTATCCTCTAATAAAGAAGAAATAAATGTTTCTCCCGCACTCTTCATTTATCCATCCGCTTTGGCTTCCAATCATCTGCTAAGCCATCTAGCAAGTTGGCTTCATGCTGATGGTACCATTGGTAGTTCAACAATAACAACAAAAATATGTAGGTTTTTGTCCTGGTAGATCTGCTGATGCAGTTCATCCCATTCTCTACACATGCACTGGGCCAAGTTCTCATTCAGGGTTTCCACTCTATGGAGAAGAATCTAAAAAGAAAGGACAAATATTATAATTACTGAAATCAGAAAAATTCTGAGTGTGAAGAAAGTGCAGCTTTATGATATTCAGGGGCATTTCAATATAACAGAGATTACAATTATAATAAAATTACGAGAACATCAGACACAGTTTAGCTAATTGCTCTCACTGAAACAGACAATCAACTGTCCTTGTCCCTGTATATGTGTTATATAAATAAATATTTAGATGCAACGTTATGTATGGAAGCATATCAGTGTCAAAATTAGAATGTAAACGTAGTATGCAAAATGGAAATGTAATCAGTTTTAATTTTCCACTCATACATGCAAGCATGGGCTCAAAATGACAATTCAAATTCAAAAATTCAATTTACATTTGCCATTTGGTGCACTAGTATTGACATTTCATTTACACAAAAATTTAGATGCTTTATTAGTAGCTTTGTTGAAAATTAAATGTATTTCCACAACTGCATATTCAAACCTTTCATGTTTTGCTAATGACTGTCTTTATAAACCTATTCAGAGGTGGGTAGTAACTAATTACATTACTAAAATATTGATGGATTTTTACTCTCCTGAGCCTTATTTTTAGTACTTAGTACTTTATTTTTCTAGTAATTTTGAGTACCTTTACTTTTGCTGAAGTATATTAGTAAAGAAAGAAATCTTTTTATATTTTATATATTACATTTAGCTTTTAATTCCTTTTTGTGTTTAATTTCAGTTTGTTTTGATAGTGACAATAATTGTACTGCTTTGTGATTGGTTACATCTCTGATTTTGAATCTTTGTATTTTAGACCAAAAGAATCCCAAAAAGAGAAGAACACAATCTTCAGTTCCTGTGCTGACAAATACTGGATGTATAAGAAGCTCCACTGCAGAACTAAGTTTTTAAAATAGATTTTCGACCTGATACTTTTGTATTTCTACTCAAGTTGTTTTGGGGAAGGTTCTTTTACTTGTGTAATGATTTTATGCAAGTATCAATACTTTTACTTGAGTATTGATTTAGACCAAACTACCCACCTCTGAACCTAATCATGAACAGTGTCAGTGTTTGTTTTGATGCTGCTTCAGTAGCTGCAGCCTCAGATAGCAGTATTTGTGCCTAGTTCATTTTCTAAAGATGCGACAGTTTTTTTTTTGTTTTATTATATTTTTTTCCTTTGGTTTGGATGGGGGACTGCAAGGGCTAAGTTGAAAGTGGACTAAATTACACTCGTGGGTGTTTGTTTATTGATAAGAAGTTTTGCACTCTGCTACTTTCACATTCACCACCAAGAAAACAAAGAAACCGAAAATGGAGACACTTATCATCTGTGTGGATGTCAACTTAAATTTATCCGATCAGGTTGCCAAAATATGCTCCACGTTCGATAATCAAACGCATATTATTAATTTTTTGCTTGTCTTTAGTTATTTACAGCAGCTCGCAGTGCAGGAACAATAGGAGCATCTGTAAAGAGTGAAATGTTAAAGCAGCAGATGTACTGTGCAGACAGTACAGAGAAAATGTGAAGGAAAAACATGTTCAATTTGGGTGGAGTTGCATGTCAAAACTGAACTAAAGAAGCTCTCCCAGCTGAAATGGAGATTCTGATTGGCTCTGCTGCTGAGTTTTAGTCTGCTCGTGCTGATCAGTGCTTCATGCAGTTTAGGGAAAGTGGAGGTTTTTATGTTTGCACCTTGAACTCAAAAAGTTGTGGGGCATCGCCACGGTACTTTGAAAAGTAGTGGGGCAAATGTCCGTTTGCCACCGTGGTTCCGGCAGCCCTGATCCATACATCCATTAAAAAATCCCTCAACTCTGCCCTCTATTTTCTCATGCAATTGGTCTTCTTAAAGTATTCTTCTACATGTCATAAATGGTATTAGATCAGAGGCGAGTACTAGAACTAGCTGGCTCACCATCATGGTTTGTGTTCACAACTCCTCAAAATGGATGAGGAGAAAAAGGTGGAGCTGAGAGGAAATGCTCAGAATAACTAATTCAGCAAGAGAGCAACAGGTCTTTAGCATCTGCTGATCACCTTATCACTCTAGATATCTGCTACTGCTGGCTGTTTCTCTCTGTCAGGAAATGTCAAATTAAGCCACCACCAACCGCGATGATATGCGTTATTGATTTTCACACTCTAATTAACAGATTTCATTAGCGTTGGCACGTTCTGCGTCTGCTTACAGGAACAGCCCAGGTTCTTCTTTCTAGCATAGATATCTCAGAACTGATTTTACACCCTCTGCAATGACTGATATGGCACTCTTCTGTACGTACACACTTACATTTGTATTTTCTGCTTATGCCAATTAAAGCCATTACTGAACTTTTACTTCACATGGCAGTCACAATGGCTTGTTTATTGGAATTTGTTGTAATGTCAGTAGTTTTTGGAGCAAAAAAATACTCCTTGCCCAGACAAATTGTTTTATGTATCATTTTCTTTACCTCAGTTGCACATTTATTACTAAATATTCTTTTTTAATTTACAATCAGAAGTTATTTTAAATGTTTAAACAGCATCAATATATCATGTGAAAGGGGGAGATGGTTGCAACACAGGACAGCTGCAACAGGTCTTATTCCTACAATAAGAAACATGCTGATAAGTGATGACACTTAGACTGCACATGCACAGGTAGACCCTCACCCCACCAGGAAAGTAATGAAAGTAATTTTTGTTATGAGCTATATTTTTGTTTTACTACCCTGAGCTTTTGTATGAATTAATTAAAACTTAAGCTGAATCACTGCTTTGTTGACTTCTAAGTGCACGGTTAGCATGTGTCAGGTCAGTGTGTCTATCTAGCACATGATGGTCTGTCATGGGTGACACGATGGGGATGGTTGAGAGGCTAATAATGAAAAACTGAGCAGCTAATGATGAACCATGAGAGGCTAATGATAAACAAAATAATTCCCAAAATAACTTGTTTGTATTTTCTCATACATGTGTGTGGGGAGGGTGGGGTGTCATACAGTGAATAAAAAGACCTGAAAGTGGAAACTGTATTCTGTTTGTTTTCAGTAGTCTATGCGAAGAGTGAGGAAGAGAGTTACTAACAGAGGAGTTCCCATCAATATTTTAAACTGAGCTTCAAATGTAATCAGGGATGAGGGCAGGACAATAATAATAATAATAATAATAATAATAATAATACTATAATATTATTGTAAAACAACACATAATTTTAGAATACTATGCTTATTGAGACAAAAAGCAAAAGTTAATAGCTGAAATTTAATGTATTTTAACACTGACTTCTTCCATTCAAATAAACATTGTGAATGATACACTATATGGAAAAAAGTATTGGGACACCTACGCATTACACCTACAAGAGCTTTTATGAATCCCATTCTAAATCCTTAGGCAATAATATGGAGTCACCCCCTCCCCCCGACCAATGTCTTGGTATGTTGAAGCATTAAGATTTCACTTCACTGGAACTAAGTGGCCTAGGTCAACCCCTGAAAACAACCCCATATCATTATCCCTCCTTCACCAAATGTTACAGTTGGCACAATGCTGTCAGGCAGGTAACGTTCTCCTGGCTTTCACCAAACCCAGACTCGTCCATCAGACTGCCAGATAGAGAAGCGTGATTCATCGCTCCACGGAATGTGTTTCCACTTTAGAGTCTAGTGACGACGTGCTTTACACCAATCCATCTGACGCTTGGCATTGTGCCTGGTGATGTAAGGCTAACATGCATTTGCTCAGTCATGGGAACCCATGCCATGAAGCTCCTGGCGCACAGTTTCTGTGCTGATGTTAATGCCAGAGGAAGTTTAGAACTCTGCAGTTACTGTGGCAGCAGAGCGTTGTTGACTTTTATGCACTATGCGTCTCAGAACTCTGCAACCCTGCTCTGTAACTTAAAGTGATCTGAGTTACTGTGGTTCCTAAACACTTCTAATCTTCAAAAATACTACTGACAGTTAATTGTGAAATATCTAGGAAGGAAGAAACTTCAAGAACCGACTTGGAATGGTGACATTCTATTACAGTACCATGCTCAAATTCACTGAACGACCCATTTCACAAATGTTTGTAAAGGCAGACTGCACGGCTAGCTACTTGATTTGATAAACCTGTGGCAATGGGACTGAATGAAACACCTAAATTCAATGATTAAGAAGTGTGTCCCAATACTTTTTCTATATAGTGTGTGTGTGTGTAATTAGCTTCAAATGCTTCACATAATTAGCAGACAGATTTAAGTTTTAAAAAATGGGTTGGTCTAGTCCAAATTGTCTCTGAGTAACTGAGAGAAATGCAAAAAGTGTTACAAATGTCCCCAGTCTCTGCTACCAAATAGCCTACCTAAGTATGATACCATCCATGAAATATGACAGTGGCATCATCAGCTCAGTCACTGAAACATTTCAGTGTAAATAATGCTTCATACCATTCAATAGTCTAACAAACATTTAACATTTGATGCTATCAGTGGAATTGCATGCCTTGAGAGCATCAACTTATGTGGGACATAACAATAGCAAATAAACAAGCAAATTACATCATCATTTTACTATTAATTGAATGTAATTTTCATTTGGGTGGCTCATTGTTTCTGCACTGGGGCCCGTAAGATCCTAGTTACACCACTGGACACCACATACATAACCACAAGTTTGGCAGCGTTGCCAGAAGAAAGCCTCTGTTGAGCACCTACAGTTTTCCAGACATTACTGGTATTCCCAGTGGGACCATGTTCTATGGTAAGGTGA